AAAACCCCAAGACAAGCTACTTATGAAGGAGGCAGGGGGTTGATTCTGGTTCACAGCTTTGGAGGTTCACAGTACAAGACCGGGTAGGCCCCTTGGTTTGGCTGTCTGGTAAGGACAGAAGATGGTGATGACAGAGTGCGCGTACAGGAAAAATCACGTGGCCAATCAGGAGGTAGAGAGAGTGACACAATTCAACTTTTATAACCCTCTCTTGAGAACCGCATTATATGGGCTGCTCTCAATGACCTAGACTTCCCACGAGGCTCCTCTCCTGAACGTCACGACTGGACTAAGTGTCTCCACTCCCAGTATCACCTCCCCAAGACTCTCATGTTTGAACTTTAAATGTCCACAACACAGGTTCAGGACCACACCCTCGTCAAACCCTAACAATACACACGTCTGTGTGTTAGACACAAACTAAGATTTTTCCGTTCCCTGGAGCCAGCTCTCGAAGTGTTGGGCACAGTATCTCCCCTGGGCAGACTGCATGCGCTCTGCCTACCCAGGCAGTGGGTGTGCTGGAGCAGTGCTCCCCACCCAGGCCATGTGGCTGTACACGCTGTTCCCACTGACCCTCGACGCAGTACTGCCTCTCCCCAAACTTGCCCTCTGGCAGCTTCGGCTCCGTCTATGGCTTTCAGTCCTCCTTGGCCTAAAACACATGATAGCCTCTCAGGGCGGCATCCAGTGCCTTCATGAGCTGGCCCGTGCTGTCCCCATACACAATGCTCCTGCACCTCTGAACCGCATGGACCTGCTTCCAACAGGCCAGGCTTCCTCCCTCCAGCCTCATTCCTCCTTACTCTTACCCAGGCTGACACTCACTCACTCTCAGGACCCATCTTGGACACTAAAGCCACTAGCAAGTGATGCCAGCTCCACACCTCCTTCCAAGGCTTACCTATAGCCCTGCCTATGTGTTCTCTTAGCAACTTGGATTTACCCCCCCCCCCCTTTTAAGATTTGTTTATTTATTTGAGAGGCACAGTTATGGGGGGCGGGGAGTGTTCCACCCTCTGGTTCACTCCTAAAATGGCTGCGATGGCTGGAGCTGGGCCAATCTGAGGCCAGGAGCTTCCTCCAAGTCACCCACATGGGTGCAGGGGCCCAAGCACTTGGGCCATCTCCCACTGCTTTCCCAGACAATAAGAAAGGAGCTGGATCAAAGTGGAGCAGCTGAGACTCAAACTTCTACATCTGGGATGCCGGCGCCACAGGCAGAAGCTTAGCCTATGCCGCCACAGTGCCGGTCCCAAACTCAGTCTAACACTCTCCATGCTTTATTCTATTTTCTCATCTGTCTCTTCCAGTGGCTCTGAGGGCCAGGAGACCTCATCCTTGAATCGCTAGGCCTAGTACCATATGTGCCAGGATCTCTGTAAATATTCCATCAGTAGTAGGCAGCTGCAAATGCAACAGTAGATGAGTTTTATAGTTTCCGAAGTAACAGAGCACACAGCTATACCTTCGGAGTAAGCTGCCCTTCTGGGACTTGATGGTCCTGTGACAAACCACCCCTTGTCCAGCTGTGGTCTGTTGTTTTGACAGCAGTGGCACTGACCCCACTTCTGAGACCTAGGCCTGGCAACCGTATTGCAACCCTCTGGCCCCTGGAAGAGTCTGGGGATGGACAACTGACTTAAGTCAGTTAACTGTTAGAGAAGGGAGATTCCCTTTCCACTGGGATGGAGAGATGGACGCCCATGCAGAAATAGTCAGAGAGCCCACCCCAGAGATATCACCCACAGAGGCAAGAGGAACAGAGACCACACAGCCCAGCCCGATATCCGTGGTCTATCTTACAAACCGAGCCAGGCCTGATGCTCCCGAAGTTTTGAATTCAACAAACTCCCCCCACCTCTTGTACTGAAGGCAGTTTGAAACTGCTTTCTATTAATTGCAATAGAAAATGTTCTGAGCATCACAGTATCACTCCACAAGACTCTCATGTTTAAACTTTACATGTCCACAACACAGGTTCAGGACCACACCCTAGTCAAACCCTAACAATGCCCATGTCTGCGTGTTATAATTAAGCTCAGGTTTTTCAGTTCCAGAGCCATTTCTCAGTCTGCTGGGCATGCTCTCTGCCTACCCAGGTAGTGAGTGTGCTGGAACTTTGCTCCCCACCCAAGCTATGTGACTCTACATGATAACCACCTATCCTACCATACGGTTTTCTAAGAAACACTTGAGATGGTGCCACTGAGGTGGTTTGCACAGAGCCTGGTACCCAAAGAGGCCTTGCTGAACATCACCAGATACGGATACGATTATATAGCAGGAGCCTGGGGCAGTACAGGGTCTGGAGGCCAAGGTTTAACTTTCTACTTTTACAGGAGCCCATTAAATGGCAGTGACAACTCCAAGTGAACACCTCAGAAGGTGGCCCTGCGAGGCAGAGGCTCAGTCCTGGTTGTAGGAGAAATCGCTGCCCCAGGGAGCCAGTCTGGACCTCTGGATGCCAGGCAAGCTACTTGAGAAACGACCCACAAAGTTCTGATCTGCCTCAATGCTCTACTTCTGTCAAGCCTGTTTGCCCATCATCCACTGTTACTGGGTCTCAGAAGGCGGAAGACAAGCACTGTTGTTCTTGCTTCAAGACTGCGTCGCCAAAGGGAAACACACGTCTCTTCTGTATTCACCCATTTTCTGTGAGAGCTCTCCAATGTGCCCTGCTTTTCCGTTGATAATAAAAACTGAGCTGGACAGAAAAGAGGTCCCTGTCCCCTCCAGGCTGTTCTCACACTTAGCCAACTCAGCCACCCTAACACTAATTCAATTTTATTTTCCTTGCCCTGTTGGAATTCTCTCTTTCACACTCATTCTTGTGCTGCTGGCATTAGGAGTTGGGTAAAGGCTCAAATCCAGACTCTTCTGAATGAAATTTAAGGCTCTGGCTCCTTTAAACCAATCTCTGGGGAAAATAGATGCATGTACACACACACACACACACACACAGAGCCACGGGTACTTCAAAAAGTCTGGAAAATTGAATTACAATGTAAGTTTATTTTAGGGCAAAAAGATTTTCAAAATCTTGCAAAAATCATGCATTTTCCATTAAATTTTTGAAGATATATGTGTGTGTGTGTGACAATATTTTACAAATAAACTATTAATCTGATTCAATATACTTATTTATTTGGAGTTGCTAATTTTTCAGAAGTATAAACACTTGTCATTTTCCAAATGGAAAATACACCTTGCGTGGTAGGATCCCAAAGCTGTCTTTAACATGATCAACAGCTCTTTTCTCTAAGCAGTAGGCAGTGAACACTTGCGATTTGGCTGGCCTGGTCTCTACGCCTGCTTGGTGACATGGAACTGCTCCAACTTGAAGTCAGTGATCCCCATCAAGGGCGCTCAAGGGACCAGAGCTGGAACAATCCTGCTGTTCAGGCCACAAGCGCTTGTCCCAAGGCACTTCCTCTCGCAGGGATTGCTCAGCCGAGGGCACCTCTCTGCTTCCACGGGGAGACAGGCTGAAAATACCACTGCCCAGAACTAGGCAGAACCCATGGCGGCCTTTGCAATTTTGCACACTTCATTAATCTCACATTAGGCAGCTTCTATATTCCCAACAGGCTCCAGAAAAATATGAGTTCACAAACCACTTCCTCCTGGAGATGGAAGGGCATGGACACAAATCAAGTGTTCCTGTGCACTTTCCTGATACACAGACTTCCCAAACTAGCTGGCCTGAAGCCCTTAGAGTTCCACGGTTACTCTCCGGTGTCTGGAAGCTGGAGACAACCCTGTTTTTAGTCCCCTGTTCTAGCCAACTGAGAACATCCCCAAGGAAACACAGCCAGTCTCTCACCAGATACCACCTTCAAATAATAGCTGCATGCAACTCATCCTCACGGCCTGCACTGAAACCCTCATCTGAGCCACCCTTCTCTGCCACTCTGACTTCACTGCTGCAGCCACCATGACCTCAAGGTATTCCTGGACTAAGCCAGGCATGCTTGTGCCTCAGGGGCTTTGCACCTGCCACTTCTGCCGCTTCCAACTTGTCCCAGATGGACTCCATTTGGTTCACTCCTCTTTGAAATCTTTGCTCAAGCATCATTTCCCAGGTAGGCCTTGGCGACCCAGCAAGCCCATCACCCTTCTAGATTTTATTTTCATCATTATATACCTAACATCATCTGGAGAATTTTATGATATAGTTATTTGCTTTGTTTATCGATTAATTTGTCTACTAAAATCCAAGTGCCATAAGGGCTTGGGTTTTTATCTGTTATATTTACTTTTCTATAACCTGTTCCCAAAACACTGCATGGTCTATTGCAGAGGCTCAAAATTCAGTGAAAAGCAGCAGAGAGGAGAGAGAAAACCATGACCCCTGTTTCTCACAGGTGAAACCTGTTAGGCAAAGGGCAGAAGGCTTCTAGTTGGAGAGACGCAGGCAGCCAGGCCAACCGAGTGGACCAGCCTGATCGCTCAGCTGAGCTGCGTGATGAGATGGGCAGAGCTGAGATGCTCAGGACTTGGAAACGGAGGCTGCCCGCCATCTCTTCCTACGAGCAGAGATTCAGCTAAAAGGTTAACATTAACAGAAGCCTGGCACTTTCCTCTTACATGTATTAAATGCAACATCACAGTCCAAATGTTTTCCTATCACCCAGCTTAACTTTCAGCAAAAAGCTACTAAATAAATCGTGGTTTCAGAGAAACAGGAAATGCTGAGAATCTAACCGACTCATTCTGCAGGTTCAGAAACTCACGTTTCAAGTGGGAATGGGATTTGAACTTGGATCTCCCTGATTCTCAAGCCAAAGCCACTAAATCCCAAAAGCTTAGCCTGAGTGCCTGCACTTGGGCTCAGGACTGTCATCTTGCAGAGACTAGAGAATCTCCCAGGTGACCACGCTCAAGCTGCCTCACCTTTCGGAATGCAGACGCTGTGGGCTGCCCCTCCCCCCAGAGAGCAACACCTGGCCACCAGCAGGTCCCCACACCCACCCTGGGACGCCACCTGGCTTACTCACCTCCAGTAAACTAGCACAGCGATGAGAAGGATGAGGCACACGAAGGTCAAGGCTGATACCACGATCAGAGGGATGATCCATTCCATCCTCCCCGGAGAAGGGCGGCTTATCATTCCAGAGCTGTTCTTCTCTGCTAAAAAGAGAGACCAGCCCAGTTAGAGGGAGAAGCACACGGTGCTGGGGAGCCAGGGAAGGATGCAGAGTCCTGCTCCAGTCTCGGGCGGTTTCTGGAGAACTGGCCTGCTGGCTTTGGCTGCCCCGGGGCCAGCAGGGGGCAAATCTGCAGCTCTCTCCATTTTCCTGGTGGGGCCAACCAGTGGAAGTGCCAGTGGGGCGGATCTGCAAGTGGAGCGCAGCACGTTTTTAGAGAAGTCACAGACATCCAACCTTACTCCCAGAACATTCCCAGTCCAGAGGGGCCTTCGGATGCTTGGAGGAAACTACTCAGTCCTCGGCAAGAGGCAGGTTTGAGAGCTCCCCAGGTTCCCTAACAGGAGGGCAGGAGGGAGAGCACAATGGGTTGCACTAGGATAACGCCTGTGACTCTGTCTCTCTTCTTTGTCTACTTAGCACCCTCTACCCCTCCCTATGTAGTGCTGGGAATGACCCCTCGCCAGTATCGACAGACATGGTGGGAAAGCCGTGTAAGGACACACCCTGCCCTCCTGGCCAAGGTGAGGGTGGGGACCACAGCTAGAGCAGCAGCCCTCGTGCCCTGGAGTCTGAAGCTGCGACCCAAGACCAACACCAGCACACCCAGTGAGGGCGCTCAGGAGCTTCTGCCCTGCGCTTCTCACCAGCCAGATCCCCAGAGGTCCTGCATTCCCTCAACTCCAGTTCCCAGCTTTTCCTCCCTTGCCATCACCTCCCTCCCTAACCCCGTCCTTCCAAAAGCTCCAAGATGGGGAGCCCGGCTACCAGACACAGCTGCCTCCGAGTAACAGCAGCCACAATGCAGGGGTTTACAGTGGGCCAAATGGTTCAGGATTCTCCCTGGGCAAGCAACACCTCTTACCCAAACAGCTCCTTCCTCCACCTCTCCGGCCCGAGGATCTTCAGAAGTCCCTGGCAGTCTCAGCAGGGGGCCCTATGCCCTCTTGAGCTAGGGTGTGTGGCGTGTGGATGCCTGGAAATTGCCAGGTAGTTGGAATGCAGCTCAGGTGTGGGGTGGGGCTGAGAAGCGCACAGGTGCCCGGAGGCAATCGTGGGAGGCAGGCAGTGAGAGAGCCCAGGTTAACAGCCCAAGTTAAAAAGCCTGGCTGCAGGCTGACTTGTGCTCAGCAAGGATTCCTCCCGCTCTGTGAAAAATGAGGCCAGCATCCAGCCAGCACAGAGTGTCCCTCTGCAGGACGGACTAAATGCAGGGCTAATCAGCTGCGTTTCCCAGGGAGAGAAGGTAGGCTGAGCAGGAAAAAAATAATTGGCCTTGCGAGCAGAGATTTAAAGCGCTAAGATTTCCTGAGTTGCAAAAAGCGCGTATTACAGCGTCTCTGGCCACGTTCATTGCCTCTCGCGCACTTGACACTGACTGCCTCCTTAGTGTTAACAGGCCTGTGACACAGGTGGAGTCTGATTGATCCCCAGCTCACAGGTAAGAAGACAGAGGCAGGCATCTGAAGAAATGAACACTTGGCTGTTGATAAAGGACAGGGGAAGTGTGTCCCTTGCTCCATTTTTTCATGAAGTGGACTGTACACCAGGCATGGCACCAGAGGATTGGGATGCAGCAGTCCATCGGCCTGTGTGTCTGGGCCAGGAATCATTTAAAGGGAGACAGATGGACAGGTAAACAAGTCATGAGAACGCAAAGGAAATGACAGCAGCAGCAGCAGCACAGGGGACTGGAGGAGACCCGCATGCAAGCTGGGGGGCCCTGGCCAGGGCTGCCCAAGAAATAACACTTAAGTGGAAAACCTGATGGATGAAGGTTGCCAAGGCCAGTGCAAAGGAGTAAGTGTGGAGGAACAGCATGGGAAATTACACGTCAGATCAGCCAGGGCCTTGAAGGCTGCATCAGGGGCACTTGTTTTAGACCTGAAGGCAGGGGAACCTACTGCAGGGTCTGTAGCCAGAGTAGACAAGAACCAGATGTGCGTGTTCTCCTTTTGCGTCATGCTTGGTTTGACAGCCAGAGAGAGAGGTCTTCCATCTGCTGGTTTATTCCCCAAATACCTGAAACAGCTGGGGCTGGACCAGGCCAAAGCCAGGAGTCCAGAACTCCTTCCAGGCCTCTCACATGGGTAGCAGGGAACAAAGTATTGAATTCTATCTGCTGCCTTTTTGGGTGCACACCAGCAGGAGCAGAGCAGGGACGGGCACTCAGGCACTCTGATACAGGATGTCGGCGTCCCATTGCAGCTGCTTATCTACTGTGCCTAATGCCCATCCCCATATAACACCTGGATCGCAAAGCTGTGGTGACTGGCCAGAGGAAGCCAAATGAAAATGATTTTGCAGGTGCCCAGGAGGGCCCAGGCAATTATTCGGCTCGCGGTAGGGATAATCTCAGAGATGGAGAGATCTTTTGAACGGGAAAGATGTCAGCAGGGTTGAGTGACAGGCTGCACATCCCATAGCCCAGAATCCACCTTGAGCAGCCATGGGTACCAGGAAGTCTTCTAATACTTTATTTGCCCCCTTGTTTCTTAAAAGAATTCTTGCCTTGCTCACCACCCAAGGTGAATATGTGTCGTTGGTTACTGGGACTGCTGGCAGAAAGCTAATCCCACGTCCTGTCAATCAGAAACCAAGGGAGATGACCTAACCCCCAAGGCTCCTTCACACCCGCATTCCCAACACTCACTGGAAATAGCACCTCCATAGTAACTCTGCCATCCTAAATCCAAGCAACACTGGGCACTCGTGGATGCCTGGGTCCTCTGAGGTGCTTAGGGGTGACAAGCTGATTGTGGTCCCTTGCACTGTCCCTGAAATTGCGCGTGAAGCTCTGGGTTGGCAGTGACATCTCTCCTTCCTTCCTTCTCCACAAGTGAAGGTTCACAGCTCTCATCTGACTTCCAGAGACGGCCCAGGACCCAGCAAAGACTGGGAGCCACCGACACGCACTCCGGTGTGTTGGAGGAGAGAACGACATTCCACAGCGGGTCAGGGTCTTTAAGTCAGGCCTAGCCTGCGTCACAGCTGGGCTCGAGAGTGGGTTTCATGATGCTCAGCCATTTCTGACATCTCATGATGCACAGTCCTAATTTTTCTGGGAGACAGGAGCAGGGCAGCTGCGCACTGAGTTCCCACTGTGTGCGGTCTCCCAACAGCGGCGTCTGGGGAGGAGATCCGCAGGTGGACAATACCTTGCATGGGGAGGGAGAGACCTAAGGCAGTTAACCTGACGACAGTGTGATCTGGACTGGACGGAAGGCGGGCAGCTGGATCTGCTCCCATGCTATTGTATGAACAGAAAGCCCAGGCAAAAGTAGTGGTGCTGGTGGATTTCCACATGGGGCCTGCTGAAGCCAACTTCACTTTCAAGTTCACAGCAGTGCTCTGTCTGCATGACTGCCAGAGCCTGGAACAGAATTCCCTCTCCCAGGAACTCCTCCCCGCCCTCAGGGTAAGCCCCAGGCTCTGAAAAGGAAGGGCAGCGGCCCTCCAGGGGCAGGGTCCCAGCAGAACTCACCCAGCCAGTGGCCTCGCCTGTTGCCTTTCTCCCTGCTGTACCCACTGTCAGACATGCGTTTCTCCTCTTGGTCCTGGAAGCTCTTACTGATTGCTCAGTCCTGGTTCGGGCATTACTTTCTCCGGGAGACCACCCCAAGTCATCGGTCTGTTCTCTCTCTCTCTGGGGAGCTAACGGCTCAGCTCAAACCCCTGCCACTTTGTCTTTACTCGTTCACCTGTAACATAAACCTGTTGGGACCTGGAGTTCTTCACGTACACAATGGGAGAGAAAGGAGCTACCTCCTCAGAGTGCTGGGGAAACGCAAGGAGAAGCTGCAGGAAGCATGCCTGGCCCTGGGCAGACGCTAAGCCAGCAGCATCATTGCCTTCCTCGCCCTCCCCCTCCTCCTCTCCCTCCCCTCCCCCTCCCCCTCATCATCTTGCATGGCTCTTTTACTCTCCAGGTTCCCAAAGGCTGCGCTGCTGCTGTCTACTGTGTGTAGCTTCTACCTGTCTCCTGCTGTGCATGCTTCCTACCAGCTTTGCAACTCTGGAGCCAGCGACCTAACCTCTCCGTGCCTCAGTTTCCTCTTCTGTAGATGAGGATGACTGCATTCCCTACTGCATCGCAGTGCTGTGAAGATTAAAGAAGTAAGAGACCTAGAACTCTCAGAAATGCTTGCTGCCTGCCCCCTCTGAGAAGTCATCATCACCATCACCTCCCCTCCCCCACCCGCTGGCAACAGCAGAGGCTTGGTTGCCATCCCCATCCCCATCAGCAGCCGCATCCCCACTCTCTCCCTCATCCGCGCCCGCCAAGCACACCGCCTGGCACTGGGCGCTCCCTGCCTGCCTGTCTGGTCTGAGTCGTTTCCGGAGTGTGTGACGGCGTGAGTGGCAGTCACATCTCGCTGTCTCAGAAGAACGTGTCCTGCAGGGGCACTCGGTCTGCGCCTCTGCTAGAACAGCGACCATGCAGGCACTGGCAGGAACACAGACAGCTCCTCCTCCTGCGGCCTCGGTCCCCTGACACTCGCCCTGCCCAACCACCACCGCGTCTGCACCACCGCGTCTGCACCGTGCACCCTTTAGTACAATGGACACAGTAGGCTGGCCGATCCGACCCAGGCTTCACAGCCTTTCTAGCTCTGTGGCTCTGGGGAACAGACTGCCTGTCTCTGATGCTGCTCCCGCCTCTCTCAGAGGCAGATGACAGTTCCTCTCTAGCATAATGCAAAGGATTAAAGGAGATAATCCTTGTAAAACAGAGACCTGATTTCTGCCTACATAAATCATGTCTACAAAATGTACAGGGCCACATGCAAACTGAAATCATGGGCTCACTGTTCAAAAATCATTAAAGTGGACTGGCATTGTGGTGCAGTGGATCAGGCTACTGCTTGCAACGCCAGCAGCCCACGTTGCAGGAGCACCACCTCTAGTCCCATGGGCTCCACTTCTGTTGCGCTTCCTGCTAACGTGCCTGGGAAAGCAGCAGAAGATGACCTGAGGACTTAG